CTTTTTCTTCTGTTTTCCATGTTTTGATCCATGGAGATATTTTGTTCCTTACTCTGTAACTACTTCCTATCCTTGGTAGTTCCTGTGTGATAATTTTTCAGCAGCATTTTCAAAATGTGTTTGTTGTGTTAATACTATTTTTTTCAGATTTGTTTTTGTAATTATATGTTCCAGGAATAGCAATAAATTAGTTGAAATGTAATTTCCTTTTCATAAGTTTCCTATTCTTGTTCTTTTAATTATGATTTCTGTCAATTATATTTATATATTTGTGGTTTACTAGTCTGTATTTTCTGAATCCCTTATTTAAATTTGATAAAGTGCCAGCTATTTTCCAAGCATATAGTGGCAAAATTATTTCATTAGTATTTCAACTTCGGTTAGCACCTTTTGACCCCATAAAAAATCTCAAAATTATTCATAAAACAGATTTTGTTTACATACAAAAATGTAATAAATGGAACTGAATAGGCTTGTACATTAATTGCATTATCTAAATCAGCTTTTAAAATCAATTTAGATTGACTTAACAATTGAGTTCAGCTTTGCTCTTATTCCAGTACAGTGTGAAATCAACCTTCCCAATAAATTTTAAGATGGTCAGATCTAGGTCTTTTGTGCTGTAGGTGAGAGCATCACTGTGTTTCATATTCATTCTCCACCTTTCCAGGCAGTTTTTCCCAGCTATTCACTCAACATAGCTATACTGTTATTACAAAAATGAGTGTTTTTTCTGGTCTTCTTCATGACTGATATTGTCAATATATATTTATCTTCTAGATTTGTATTGCACATGTAGATATTCAATACCTTATAAAGCTGGATGGGTTTTATTTCCCATCTGTTTCCAGAAATACAAAGTGATGCTTTTATGAGATTATTTTCTCATGAAGTGCTTTACAATTTTTTTTTTTTGTTACAAAACTTATTTATTCAATATGGGAACACTTCTATGAAATGAAAAAATTTAGTGCTCTGAAAATAATATAATGACTTTTCAGCTCCAGTATCACGGAGGAAGGTCATCTACTATGAAACACCACAAAAATTACTTGGTATGAGCAGTGCAGAATCATGAGATTACCTTTATACTTCAGAGTAGTTAAATGCCAGGCAATGACTTAAAAACCTGAGGAAGGAGAATTTGTTAAAAAAAATAAACAACTTAAATTCTGCTTGTCCTTTTGCCCTGTATTCACTTAATGCTCCCAACACACTACAAGAATGTGTTTAGACAACAGACTTACATATGGTACTTGCACACTATTTTAGGTTTATGGTATGTAGTAATCAGTGAGGTATTCAAGAATAAATCAAATAAACAGAATTTAGCTATGTCAAACAACAGAATGTCTACATATCTTTTTGTGCATTCATCCAGATGTGTCTATCTATTATTTTATTTACTACTCTAGGAATTTGACAGAAGATGCCTTCAAAAGATGTGGTGTAGAATGGATTGCATAAATCCTGTGGGAAAAACTAGAAGCTGTGTCTGCATTTGGCACATCTGAAGCAGCTGGAGTTGTGCACTAATACTGGAAAATAAATGATTCATGTTAAGCCTCTGACTGTGCAGCTAAGTAGTCAGCAAAGGAAAACAAGTGTCATGAACACAAGTGGAAGTGGACGTTTCTCTTTCTGCTATAAAAATACAAAAATTCTGGTTAGAAGGCTTTGTATGAAAACTATTGATTCTATATATCTGAAAACCATTGATATATTTAATGTTTTGAAAAGCATGAGTCTGAGATGCCCCTGTGTATTCTTCTATTTAATCCTCTCCGGGAACAAAACTATAACACAGTTGAACGTGTTCAACTGCAACATTGAAGAACAAACATCTGTTAAAGGGAGATGAGTATCCTGCTCATTTGAGTTTGGTTTATCTGAGTTTTCAGTTTATCTGAGTTCTCCGTTTATCCAAACTCAATGTACTTTTTGCTATAATAGACAAATTGAATTCTGGAAAACTATTATTTTCTTTATGGGATATTTTAGACTGTAGCACTGTTGAACTATCCTGATGTTTCATTGCATTGCTGGGCTTGGTAAGATTTATGTATAGACCCATCCCACAGACTGTGATCTGTGCAGTTGGCACCTTTGCACACTGCAGACTGGCTGTATCAGGAGGCTAACTCCACTCTAATGTTCTAATTGTGTGTATATATAAAATGCTCAAAACTTAAATTAGTAGTACCAGTCACTTCAGTGGTACTGTTCATGTGAGTTAAATAAAACACATGTTGAAAAGTTACTGCTACCATAAGCATATTCTTAAATTCCCTTCTCTATATTACACAATGAAAGTAATATTTTTCTTAAATAAAGAGGGTTTGCTACCTTGACAACAGATACCAGGCAAATTTTTCACAGGGTTTCACAAAACACACTTCAATAATTCTAAAAATACCTTCTGGTTTTCAGTATATTTCAATGGTGGCTTGCTTGTGTGAGCACTACAAACTCTACAGAGGAGACGGCTTCCTTTATTGGTTTCAGAGCACATGCAATCTAAGCTTGTTATTTAGTTTTATTTCAAGGACTTGAGTTAAAAAGGGCTCTTTATCAAGTGAGTAGTGTTCCAATCTAATGCCCATTATGGTCAGTGGAAGTATTTCTATTTCCTTCTTCAAAGAGTGGTGGAGAACAAAAAGATTAATTTTAACCTCATCATTGGTTGGAAACTGGTCTGAGTTATCAGCAAGAAAAAGTGACCATATTGGGTGTAGTCAGTTTGGCCACACTGAGAACAGGTGTTTGTGCCAAAAAAAGCACTAGGACAAGTGGTTCCCTACGGCAGTGTCAGGAGGCTGGCACACAGTGATGCTCCAGCCAGGGAAGCCCAGGCACCCAGAGATCCCAGCAGTCAGCAGCTTACAGATGATCTGCCTCTTACAGATTTATCACGGTACATCACTGTAAGCTTACAAAAGCAAATGGTATAAACACATTTTGTGTTTGACTTCAGTGAACTTGTTATTCAAAATCATTTAACAAAACTACAGTGTAAGCGTATGAACTATTACTTCATATGAGTTGGCTTGCAAGTACTGCTTTGAATTCAGAGAGATTGAGGAATATATTAAAAAAAAATTAGGACGTACAATAAGATTATAGATTAGAAGTAAATCATTGTAGTCCAGTCCTTAGAACACTTACATGTGCTCTGTGATTGGGATAAATTTTGTCTTAGTCATATCATTGTATTGTTATGCATTACAGCATCTTGTGTGCCATCCAAAACGTCTTGTACTTGACCAGTCAAAGACAAAAGCTGTGATTAAATGGACTGCTGGCACTTTCTCTATTCTGTACCTTTCTCTTTTCCTTTGATTATCATTTCTCCACAGCTTGCAGTTCCAAAAGCAATGTACACAGTAGACTATAATGAAAATGCAGTTAAAATAAAGGTCACTGGTTGTCATGAGATAACTATTGTTCTTCATATCTGTCTTCTTGCTAAAAGTGTACTGGCCTGACTTTTTCCTGGCATTATACACCTTATCTTAACAATGCAGCAACTATAAAACTAGTATGTGCTAAAATAAATGGGTATGACAAGTAAAATACTGCTCCAATAAACTAGAACGGCAGTAGACCTCCACAGCCACAATGTTTTTGCCTTCCTCTAAGAAAATGCTTATCTAATGCAGATGTATGTCAGTTGAGTGATTGTAAAATATGTTAGAACTTCCCTAGCAGATTGTAATTTACAAGCTGCTGTTCCTAAGTATCCTTTCCTACCAGAAGAATAGGTAGGAAAGGATACTTAGGAACAGCATATATTATCAGAATCCAGAACTAATCTTTCTATGGATAAACTCTTGTCATAAGTTAAAAAAAAGTAATAAATTATATAAACAAACAACAGAAATAAAACACTTATTAAAGCAAATTTAGAAGTATGTTACATCTTTAAAATCCAGGAAAAAAAAAGGAGTGTGCAAAGAAAGAAGAAATGTCCATACCAGTCATCTGAGACTGTTTACTTTGGACACAAGTAGCACATATTTTTAGAAAATACCCTACTTAAAACTTGCTATAAGACTTTCTAAAGGCAAGCCCTATTTCAGAGAACTGTTGGATAAATAACCTCCTTTGTGAAATCAATAGTCACTGTTGCAGAGGCCATTTTTTGGAATGAGGTCTGAAATAGAGCGGATGAATTATCCCCTGGACATGCCTGTTTTTCCTCACCCAGTCTGCTGAAGTACTGTCCCTAGCCGTGCCTTCCCACCTCTTCACTTGCCTGATCTAATTCCAAGGTGAGTCAGAGGCATGACATGATCCAACAGGGAATTTGCTGCAGTGAGGTAGTTTTCGTCTGGATCAGCTAATTGTGCAGCCACAAATGAAATGGATCAAATTCCAAATCTAATACGAGATATGTGGTGGCAGCACATAGTTGTGTGCACAGGGAGTGCAGTGTTGCTACATTCTTTATCAGCTGCGGATACCCTGAAATTAGATGCAATTTGAGACTGTACCTTTGAACTAGGATCCTTACTTTTAGATAGCTAACTTGGGCAGCAGTAGGAAATAATACAAACATTTTGAACTACATCCAATAAAGGAAGATTAACACACCTGTTTTTAATAGCACGGTCATTATACTACTCACACATAAGGCGGAAAAGCTAGTTTCTGTAGCCATTTGTGCCTGAGAGGGCAAACCCCACACTTTGTGGAAAAGTGCTCTAACCACCACTCATTGCTGTGCCATGGAAAAATACTAAAGCCATGAGACAGAGAAAAGATAGAGATACAATATAACGTGGAGTTTTCAAAGGACTCTTGTACTTCACATTTTGTTCAACAGTAAAAAAAAAAAATCATTACAGAATTAAAATATGAGCAAAGACCACAGAGCTTTTAGATGGTCCCTGAGTATAGATTACCTTTTTCAAAATGTTGAGTAGGTGTTGGGAAGTAAAGTTGGGTTGGAATCCCTTCAAGCTGAAGACAGTCTAAAACCCCAGTTCCCCATGACTTGTGTTTGCTCTTCCTGCAGGACTACTGCATAAAAGCTCTGCTTGTTTTGAAAGAATTCTTACAATTCCTTTTGAAACCCATCAGAATGAAGAGATGAAAAAGGAGGGGATAAAAAAGGCTCAGAGAACATCTACCATATGTCTTTCGTGAACATAATGAGGGATTATGAATGGTGAGGAGGCAAAGCATCCTCTGAGAATATCTAGCAGATGTCATCAAATTGAGGCAGAATCCAAAGAAAACATGCTATTCCTTACAAGTAGTCAGTTCTAAGCAGTAGATCAATGCTGACCTGCATCACCTACTGAGAACAATTGTTGTGCATAGGTAAAGAAGCAGAACTAGAGATCTCAGAAAAAAATTTCAGTAAAATAACAAAGGGCCTAGTGATTGTAAATCCCTTTGGGAAAAGGCTTGGTGTGGTTTTCATTTGATTTGTCAGAAGTCTGCCTAATGCAAGCAATCACATTATTGAGCATGGTTAGTGCTATTGATTGCAACTAGTGCTTCTGCTCTTCAAACAGCAGTAGTACCTTTTTCATTTCTTGTTTGCACTCTTGTGATGTGACCTCATTGCTCTGTGTCTGACTCTTCCCGCAAGTGTATAGATGAGCCCAGTTTTACTTAATTTGCAATGCAATTAGTTCATAGCAATCGAACAGTGCTAAAAGGCCTTAAGGATAATGACTTTTCTGTGACAGCAGGAATAGGCAGAGCTATGAGTGTCTTATCCTATGAGTCACATTGTTAACGTGGGACACACCCTATAGAAGCCAGTAACATAGTCTTATGAAGTGGAGCAGCAAGATAGGACTGTGCAACCACAGGATATTCCACACCCTGTGACCACCTGACAGCTACTGATCTCCAAGGGATGTAACCGCGGAGAAGCGGTGAGAGTCCCATGCCATGCTGTGAAAGATGCTGTCAAAGGTGCGAGCCTGAACCTTTGCCGTCAGAATACCCACGTCGCAAGCATGATAGCATTAGCAATGAAAAGATTCAAGTCAGCCCAACATATAAGGAAGCTCCAAAAAATTTCTATTGGGTTTGTGTCTGGACACAAACCCAACTGGTCTCCTAACTAGGGAGGCACGAAAGAGCTCCGCAGATCCAAATAATATAAACCCCGTCTAGGGTCGCCGTGCCGGCCCTAAGATGCCAGGCCTGGGCTGGTGGGGCCGGTGTGGAGCCCGCTTGTCGCAGACCCCGCGGAACGCCGGGTGCCCGGTCCAGCCCCGCTTCCAGCCCCGCTTCCAGCCCCGCTTCCAGCCCCGCTTCCAGCCCCGCTTCCAGCCCCGCTTCCAGCCCCGCTTCCAGCCCCGCTTCCCGGCGTGCTGTGCGGGAGGCGGTGCCCCGGCGCTGGGAGGAGGTGGTGGCGGAGGTGCCCGGGGCTGGAGGAGGAGCTGTCGCCGCCCGCTCTCTCTCTGTCCGCTGCCGCCGCGCTGCCGGGAGGGGCGGCCGCCCCGCGCCCCCGGCCCCGCGATGCCGCTCTTCGCCACCAACCCCTTCGACCAGGATGTGGGTAAGTGGCTCCCGCGGCGCCCAGGCCCGGCCTCCCACCAAGGGAACCCCGCGGGCGGCCGGCCCCGCTCCTCCGGCCCGCCGCTGCTGGGCTCGCTGGCGCCCCGCCGGGAGCCGGGAACCGGGAACCGGGATCGGCGGCGACGGCCCGGCCGGGAACTGTCGGTCACGGTGCGGCCGGGCCGGGGCCGCCTCCCGGTGGGGCCGGCGGGGGCTGCGGCCTGGGCGGTGACAGCGCGGGGCTCCTGCGGGCCCTGCCGGCCTTTGGGCTGGGGGCGAGCGCGGGGTGCCCGTGGGGGACGGGCCGGCCCAGCACAGCAAAACAAGTAGTGAGAAAGGTCCGCGCTGGAGTGTTCCTGAAAGGATGAACAGTAGAAAACACCGTCTACAGTTGCTTCACAGACAGGCATGAGAAAATCGTCAAAGCGTTTTGTATTTGGTGCTTTAAAGTGTATTCCTGTGGGAGCTTTCTTTTTGTCTTTCAAGTAGAACTTGACGATCTGTGATCAGGTGTCATGCCCAAATTGCTTCTTCCGAGACCAGACTAGATGGAGAAGATGTCTGGCTTTTACTTGACAAAAATTGTGCTTAATGCTGATGTGTCCAAACTGAAGGAAAAGTGACGTATAGGCAGTTAAAAATTAGTTTTGTATGTCTGATTTGTGATTGTGTAATATGGTTTGTCTTCAACCTGCTGCTGACATCTGTTTTACTTTTGAGTGATAAAAGTTTTGTCTGGGGAATCAGGTAATGTGGGTAAGTATCCCACTTCCCCCGCCCGCCTCCCCAGTATTTTCTTACAGCAGTGTAACACTATACGTTTCTTGAAACCAATTTCTTTGTAACTTTCAACTACATCGATACATTGTTTCTTAAGATTTAGCTAAGTGTAGAAGTCTTGGCTCAGATTTAATTCTTCCAGCTCTTAAAGAAAACAAACAAAACCCTCAAAACTGTCTGAAAAGTATGTGTCTTTTCAGAGGAAAGGATTAGTGCATAAACAAATTACTGTGACACGAATTCGGTATGTATGTATGTGTGTATGTTCTCAGAAATTCTTTGTCTGTTGCATCTTAATAAGGCATAGCTTGCTCTTCTCATTTTGAACTGTTAAGAACACTTTTAACCTGCACTTCAGTTAATGATTTTGTTGGTAGCAGAGTTGACTGAGTTATTTTGGAAAGCGGTAAATAATTCTTCCTAATTGTTATGCTGGTCTAATGTAATTTGTCAGTTGAAAGTGAGGAAGAGATTGTACTGCTTGCCAGTTTTCCATGGACCATTAGAGGATTGAAACATTGATGATAATGTCTGTGAGAATGATTTGAACTAATAAGATTAAAAAGTGATAGGCTCAGGTTCTGGCAGATGTTCACTTTTTTTACTTCCTAAGGCTGCTGGCTGGCAGGGAAGCTCAGGCTGCTTGAATGGACTTCTCTAGAGCTCTGTCCAGTAGATGTGCTTGTCAGCACTGTGAGTCTCACAGTGCAGGGCAGTAGCACTCAGCGGCTACTTCAGTGGTTTATTTCCTGTTTTCTGTGTGCAGAGGATGCCAACACCTTACCTACTGTGCTTGCCTAATACGACCACCAGTTAATATTTTTCAAAAAAGTTATTCTGTTAAGTGTACGAAGAGAGGGAAATAACCACTCAATCCCAAATTGTTCTTGGAAAAGCAGATAGTGGGCAATAGGCTAATTTGCACTGGTAAACACAGTTTCTTTCTTTTGACCTCTTTCATGGTGTCCTGGGGAGACCTGAGGAGCAGCAGGCTGTTCAGTTGGTGACAGCCTACTTTCAGGAGCCTGGTACCTTTATCCATCACTTAACGGGATTTGTGCCAGGGAGATGGGAATGCTGAAGTTTCTCAGAAAGTGTCCCTAGGCTCTTCTTCTCCGAGGGCCCTTGGGAATGTGCTATTATCTGGATGAATTTTTTGGCAGGCTTCACAAGATAACATCATCTGTAGAGTAAGCTCTCATGTTGTCAGGAAACTTCCAAAAGTTGTCAAGCTGTAGTGTTATTTTTCAATTCTTTTCCAGAGTGAAAATTGAGTGCTCTGCTTTTGTTCTTGTCCAGCAAGAAAGTTTTCCATTGAAAATCAGATTCCTGAAGAAGAAAAGCAGTCAGAAGCTATTCTTAATTTCATATGAATTCGGACATTGGTGTAGTTGATAGTACTGCTGTGATAGCTGTGCATTCTTGTCTACTGGACAGCTGCTCGGTATTGTAGAACAGTTGGATATTATTTTGGAACCATTTAGGATGATGGATTGCAGAGAACATATCTGGAACTAAGTTGTTTTCCATTGTTTTTGAGGAGCATAAGTATCGCTTAAGTTCAGGAGAATTTTTTTCAGTTTGTCTGGCCAGTTAGCAGCATTTGGCTAGTCCTGTTAGCGTGTTGCTACTATGGAAGCTGGTCATCCAGCTTACTGTTTAGAGTCAACCTTGTACAGAGATTTTGAGGGGTGCACCTCTTTTTTTTTTTTTTAGGTGTGGTTGGAAAAAGAATGTTGTTTAAGACTGCTATTAAATTAATAATATTAAAGAATGCTTTAAGCTGCCCATGTATTTGAGGAGGTAAGCTATTGTCATTGTCAAAGAGTGCAAATCTCTGGATGAAGCCCAAATAGTTTTCATTTTCTGTACCTTCTTTTTACCATATTTAGAAATATTTCAACAGGAAGGGATACTAATCAGTGGTGACACAAGTTGGTGTGGGTTTTCACAACGAAGTCAGGGAACCTTTGACAGTGTGTCCAAGTAAGGAACATAATATTGGAATTTAACAAAAGAAAAAATCTTCAAGACGCTGGGCCTGCTGAGAGTATAATTAAGAAACTCTAATCCTCCATTTAAGGGGTTAGAATTAATGGTGTTCTTATTAGGTCCGTGGGTCATCTGTTTCTGGTGTTCTTATTAGGACCATGGGTCATCTGTTTGTGCCATATTTCACAACCTTAATTATAAAGTTATTCCTGAGAAATGCAGATTTATCTGTAAGTTTGATGCAGGCAGAATAATGGTGAAAAAGTGCTTTAAGAACCAAAAGACTGTCTACTAATCTGTCATGACAGGCTAATTAGTAATATAACTAGTTACTAATATAGCTTAGGATAGTTTTGGTGAAGAACTTACTGCTAAAGTTGTTCTGAAGTATCATTTAGATCTTATCTCAAGAATAAAATCTGTAAGTCTGGACGTAATGTGGTGCATACTTTATTCTAACATGATGTCAAGCATTGTAAACCTAATTTACATAGTAAGAAGAGAACTGGAAGAACATTTACTCCCTGCTGTAAGCTTATTATTTCTGAAGTTTTATAAGCTGCAATAAATGCATGTTCTGGTGTGAGTTGTCGTAAAAATCACACATGATCTTAAGAGGAGGTGTTTAAAAAACGTGGTTTTGTATGAATTTTTTTCTCCCTTACACACAGTAAAGGATGAAAATACTTGCATTTGCTTTGGATGTTAGTGTAGTTC